CTTGGTTGTGGTCGTGCTGGCGTGGGTCGTGCTGGGGGCGTGTCGTGCTGGGCGTGGTCGTGCTGGGGTGTGTCGTGCTGTGGTGTGGTCGTGCTGGGGGGTGGTCGTGCTGGGGGGTGGTCGTGCTGGGGGGGTGGTCGTGCTGGGGGGTGGTCGTGCTGGGGCGGGGTCGTGCTGGGGCGTGGTCGTGCTGGGGCGTGGTCGTGCTGGGGTGTGGTCGTGCTGTGGTGAGGTCGTGCTGGGGTGTGGTCGTGCTGGGGCGTGGTCGTGCTGGGGCGTGGTCGTGCTGGGGCGTGATCGTGCTGGGGAGTGGTCGTGCTGTGGTGAGGTCGTGCTGGGTGTGGTCGTGCTGGGGTGTGGTCTTGCTGGGGTGGGGCCGTGCTGGGGTGGGGTCGTGCTGGGGTGGGGTCCTGCTGGGGTGTGGTCGTGCTGGGGTGTGGTCGTGCTGGGGTGGGGTCGTGCTTGGGTGGGGTCGTGCTGGGGTGTGGTCGTTCTGGGGTGTGATCGTGCTGGGGTGTGGTCGTGCTAGGGTGGGGTCGTGCTGGGGTGGGGTCGTGCTGGGGTGTGGTCGTGCTAGGGAGTGGTCGTGCTGGGGTGTGGTCGTGCTGGGGGGTGGTCGTGCTGGGGTGTGGTCGTGCTGGGGGGGTGGTCGTGCTGGGGGGTGGTTGTGCTGGGGCGTGGTCGTGCGTGCTGGGGTGTGGTGAGGTCGGGATTTCAAAAACAAGCGTTTCGCTCGAGACATCCTCAAATTTTAATTCGCCGGCCTCAAAAACAAGCGTTTCGCTCGAGACATCCTCTAATTTTAATTCTCGGGCTCGTTATTTATCAGGGAAAAATTCGCCGGCCTCCTTCGACCTCGTTATTTATCAGGGAAAAAATTCGCCGGCAATTCGCCGGCCTCCTTCAAGCAGGCACCGGGGGACTAAGTTTACAAACTAAAAGAGAACCCTGGGCTTAAGCCCTTTCCGGGAACTAAAAGAGAACCCTGGGCTTAAGCCCTTTCCGGGAACAAGCGTTTCGCTCGAGACATCCTCAAATTTTAATTCGCCGGCCTCCTTCGACCTCGTTATTTATCAGGGAAAAAATTCGCCGGCCTCCCTCAAGTTGGCACCGGGGGACAGGTTTACCTACTAAAAGAGAACCCTGGGCCCGCGCCCTTTCCGGGAAAAAGAGAACCCTGGGCCCACGCCCTTTCCGGGAGAAAAGAAGAAGAACAAGAGGAGGAGGACGAGGAGGAGGAGGAGGAGTCCTCTTGAGCCTAGAAAGGTTGAGGGCTTGGTTGGACGGGGCCCCTACTTCGAACTTCAGGAAAATGATGTACCTGGGCATGGGTGCGTCCCGCGGCGGCGCGCGACGGGCCACCCCCCATGCGGCGCCAGCCTTCCCGCGACCGAGGAGTGGGATCGCCGCGAGGCGTTGCCATTCGGAGTGGCCCTGGCCGTCTGGAACCAGCGAGGCCAGTGGTGATCCCACCCCCTGACCAGTTTCAGGCCAAGGCGCCTCCTGTTAGAGGATCGAGGCGATTAGGCAAGAGACAAGAGAAGGAGGAGGAGAAGGACGAGGAGAAGGACGAGGACGAGTGCAAACCCAAAATCCACCAACGATGTTGAAACTAACCTTCCCCCGAAGCTCACTTTTCATAGGCCCCTACAAAGATTCATGTCCAGTTCAGGAAGTGCCCCGTTGGGAGACAACCGTTGGAATATCCTGAAGCGTGCCGAAACATTTCAACGCCATGAATAAACCGGATTTTTGCGTCTTGACGATCTTGAATCGCGCCAGAACACCATTCCTGAGACGTCGAATCTACGAATCGGCATACTTGTTGCGCCTTGGCAATCTTCTGCTGTTCCAGATCATCGCTTCTGGTACGTTGACCTTGGGGTTCCGTGAAACTCTTGTACATGCTTAACGCGAGTGCGCGCGACGCTAAGGCGGGAATCATATTCTGAACATGAGACGTCCTCAGCCCGTGTTGCGCGGCGCTAAGACGAGAACCACATTGTTGAAAACGACCCGCCTCCAACCCGTGAAATCTCGCAAAGTTTTAAAATAGGATGTGCGCCGCGCCAAAATCGACAACAACATGTTGAAAACCACCTGCCCTCAATCCGGCAAAGTCTTGGATTAGTTAACATCGTTGATGCGAGAGCCACATTTTGAAAACCACACGCCCTCAATCCGTGAAGACCTTGCAGTTTTATAAACGAATGCGCGCGGCGTTAAAGCGATCACCGCGTTTTGAAAACGGCCCGCCCTCAATCCGTGAAACGCCTTGCACGCTTTCAAGATCAATGTGCGCGGCGCTGAGGCTAGAGCCACATTTCGAAAACCACCCGCCCTCCATGCAGTTATTTTGCTTCAGGGTCATAAGCGGTGAGGAGGTATCAGGCGAAACGCCCAGCCCGCCCTTTCAACCGGCCTCGGGGGGCGACCTGTAAGGAAAAGGATTGGAGGTGGAGGAGCAGCAAGAGGTCGCACATTCTTCATTGCAGGAGGTGCGGGGGCCCATGGAGGCGGCGGAGTACCGACGCATGCGAGGCGAGGGCGTGCAGCCGGAGGTGATGAGCGCCAAGCGTGGCAGCGCGGCTGCCCACGAGACCAGGTCGCCGGCGCGCACCTCAAGTGAAGCCTACGTGTCGCCATGAAGCAAGCGGGTCCTGTTGGCGGTTCCCACGAGAGGAGGCTCAGAGGCAGGGGGTTCTCAGAAGGCAGGGGCCTTTGAAGGTCCTGGGGGCGTCTAGGAAGCTTGTTAAATTTGGGCGGGCTTCCGAGAAACCCTTTTGCCCTTGTGTTAGAAGTTTCGCCACTTTCTTGAAGGCCCACTCCCCCCCCTCGCGACGCCCCGGTGTGGGCGCCGCCAACCCGAAGGAGACGGGTCTTGAGGTTTTCCGCAGTTTTCCGGTTGGCAGATCCTTGGGATGGCCCCGGAAGCTGGACCCAGGATCACGAATTGGTCCTGGGAGGAAGCCCTGGGGCCCCAGACCGTTTTCCGCTAGGACCCGTTCTATTCGTGGCAAACACGCGGGCTTTGGAAGAAATATCGATCGAAAGCCATCACATTGGGGATGCTGGGGTCGCCGTTTTCTGGGAACTCGCCGATTTGGCCAGATCTGGAGCCCCACTTGGGCCCAGACCGTCTACGTCGAGTACTTATGCCAGCGCCCACGTGCTCGAGACTGTCCTTGGGGGTCCTCTTGCCTTGTCTTTCGTTTTCGCATTTCGAATTTCTGTGCCCGTGACAGACACTTCGTTTACGAAAGTTATTGTGTTTTGTATGCGTGAAGTGCTACACCAGCTTCTGTGCCAGCATGTGCGGCGTAGAGTCTGCGCCGGTACGTGGGAGAAATTATGGTCAGGCAGGTTAGGCATGGGCCAGAAATGCGAAGCCTAGCTGAATTGAGCGCACGGGCATTGTTGACAAGGCAGAAGGTGGTTCATTAGTGACCTGGTCTGAAGTTGAAGCAGGTGAGACTTCCCGCGATACATCCAGCGTTCGCTCAGGTATGAGAACTTCCTCGGGCAACACTACCCGCACATACTCCAGGAGAGTTTCTTTCTCAACGCCGCCAAATCGAACATGGCATCCTGATCGCCCTAACGTCAAAACGGCTAGGACCTGTCCCAGTGGAGGAATGCTTGCCCTCCTTACAGAAGTCGTTCCGGCCATGTTGCCAGGAGGCCACTGTATGTCAGCGTGTTTACGGGTGGTTTCTGGGCTGCGCGGCCTTCCAGGCTGCAAGTGTTGAGTTGAGGATTTTTCGGTGCTGCCCGAAACGTCGCCACACGCCTTCCCTAGGGGCTGGGCTCGGGACGAAGAGGAGGATGAGGAGCAGGAGGTGAGCGGGAGGTGAGGGACGGGAAGAAAACGAGAAAGAGGGGGAGGAGGAGGAGGAGGAGGAGGAGGAGGAGGAGGAGGAGGAGGAGGAGGAGGAGGAGGAGGAGGAGAGAGGAGAAAGGAGAGAGGACAGAGGGAAGATGATGACAATGAGGCGGAGCAGCAGGAACACGTGGGATAATGATTACAAGGAGGATGGAGAGCAGGATGAAGGAGAAGGAGGAGGAGATAATCGATTTGCGTGAAGAGAGCGAGAGAGCGAGAGAGAGACAGAGAGAGAGAGAGACAAAAACAATAGCCAGACGAAGGACCCGACCATATGCAGGTGTGAGTACCGCAATTGTGATTCCTTTTTTCGGTGGTGATCCCTATGGGGCAACGAACCGTGCTAGTGGTGTGCCGCAATGAATGACGTGGTGCACAACGCGAACGAAAACGATTGATCTTAGTACGTAGGGAGACCTGAGCGCGGGTGAATCTGAGCGCGAGTGCGTCTGACTGTGAATGAATATGCGTGCGAGCGAGTCTACGTGCATGAATGCGAGTATGCCAATGCATGGTGCACGTGTAAATGAATGCTAATAGTTTGTGAATGGCTGCCTCTGAGTACTCGTGACGCTGGGCGTGGCCGCCGCAAGGAGGTTCCCGGGAACTCCCCGACGGCATCGCCCGCGCGCCGCGACGCCACCGCGAGGATCGCGCCCGCTTCCTCCCCTTCTTTTACTCCCTCTTTGCCCGCGCACTCAAAAGTCCAAAGCTGCGGGCGCATCGCCCCGGAGGGGTCCCAGCGACGCGCGCGGGTCGTCCGCTGCGCGCAGCAAAGAGAGCTAGTTGGCTGGCTGATAGCGGGCAAGGCTCTTGCAGCTGGGCAGAGCGACGACGGGCGAGGGAGGCGCGGAACTCCGACGGCCTCCGACGGAGGTGTACTGGGTGGGGGAAACGCGTGCGGACTGCGCCACGGGGACCTTCGGTGGAGCTCCCTATGGGGCCACGAAGCGCGTGAGGGGTGTGCCGAAATGGGTGTGCGGGGCGCGTGCGGGCACACCCACTGGGACCTTCGGTGGAGCTCCTTATGGGGCCACGAAACGTGTGAAGGGTGTGCCAAAATGGGTGTGCGGGGCGCATGCGGGCGCACCCACGAAACGTGTGAGGGGTGTGCCGAAATGGGTGTGCGGGACGCATGCGGGCACACCCACTGGAACCTTCGGTGGAGCTCCTTATGCGGCCACGAAACGTGTGAAGGGTGTGCCGAAATGGGTGTGCGGGACGCATGCGGGCACACCCACTGGAACCTTCGGTGGAGCTTCCTATGGGGCCACGAAGCGCGTGAGGGGTGTGCCGAAATGGGTGTGCGGGGCGCGTGCGGGCGCACCCACTGGGACCTTCGGTGGAGCTCCCTATGGGGCCACGAAGCGTGTGAGGGGTGTGCCGAAATGGGTGTGCGGGACGCATGCGGGCACACGCGCTGGGACATTCGGTGGAGCTCCCTATGGGGCCACGAAACGTGCGAGGGGTGTGCCGACGTGGGTGTGCGGGACGCATGCGGGCACACCCATTGGGACCTTCGGTGGGGCTCCCTATGGGGCCGCGAAACGTGTGAAAGGGTGTGCCGAAATTGGTGCGCGGGACGCACGCGGGCACACCCACTGGAACCTTCGGTGGAGCTTCCTATGGGGCCACGAAGCGCGTGAGGGGTGTGCCGAAATGGGTGTGCGGGGCGCGTGCGGGCGCACCCACTGGGACCTTCGGTGGAGCTCCCTATGGGTCCACGAAGCGTGTGAGGGGTGTGCCGAAATTGGTGTGCGGGACGCATGCGGGCGCACCCACTGGGACCTTCGGTGGAGCTTCCTATTGGGCCACGGAGCGTGTGAGGGGTGTGCCGAAATGGTGCGCGGGACGCATGCGGACACACCCACTGGGAGGGGGGCAGCGGGAGAAAGGTGGGAACGCGGGGCGCTGTCTCTTCAAAACGAGGACCCAACACCACAGGTTGGTTGGGAAAAAAGAAAGAGAGGGAGAGAGAACGAGAGAGAGAGAGAGAGAGAGAGAGAGAAAGATAGAGAGAGAGAGAGAGAGAGAGAGAGAGAGAGAGAGAGAGGAAGGGAAACAGAAAAGAGAGAGAAAGAGAGAGATATGACACAAACCAAACCAGAATGGAAAGGAGGAGGAGGAGGAGGAGGAGGAGGAGGAGGAGGAGGAGAGGCACGACCAGTACGCATCCTGAAAGAGGGCTGGTCCACGGACCCTGTCCCAAACCTTCAGGTTCGTTTCTGCCGGCGAGGCTGCTGTCCGCGCGCGGGCGCGGGCGCCTCGAAAACCCTGGTGGCGCAACCAGCCGCGCGCAGGGGGTCTCTATCCCTCTCGCGTGTGCTCCCCGCCCCAGCCCAACCGACCCACCCTATCAATCCCGCGCCTTCTCCTGTCGCTCCTGGGCTTGACTTGCCCGGGGAGGGGCGCGCACTTATCCCTGACCACCGCGGTCCCGAGCATACTTGGTTGCTCGCTCCTGCGTTTCCGACAAGACGCTTGGGGCAGCCACTGGACAACAGATGCGGGTCAGACGTGGCATAGGCTCCGCACTTCCTGCGAGCGACGAGGAGATGTTCATGTGTTTCAAGTGCGCCACTGGACGCACACCCGCAGGGTGATGCGCGTGCACGCATCGCTGGTCGGTCCGACGGGCCAGCTGCGCCGTGGCGCGCGCGACGCTTGTGGCTCGACCGCGGGGCTCGCCGCCCCGTTCTGTGCCATGCGCGAGATTCATTGCGGTTACGTTTGTGGATGCGCGCGGGCCAAGTGCAGACGCGCGCGAAGGCGCGCCGCGGATATCTCGCGCAGGGCGGGCCACGGGGCGCCATGTTTTTGTTTTCTTCGCATGCTTGATTTTGTTTGCCCGCGCTGCGCTTGCGGCGCGCTCGCCTGCGTGATAGCGCAGCAATGGAGCGCCGCGCGTAGCCTCGGCCAGCGCACCGGCAAACGCGAGGAGCGCGCCCGGCGCACTTGAGACGGGCCGGCGCATTTCGAGGCAGCCGCGGCCGCGAGAAGGTCTGCGCCGCTGGTCTTTAAGCCGCTACGCGCACGGGCCGACATCCCATTCTCAAGCACGTTGGAGCGCGAGTCCGGTTGGCAGGACGCAGGGTGCATTGAATTTGTCGCGCGCGGCGTTCTTCCGATGGCCAACGTAGAGCACGGCGACAAGGGCCGCGCCCTTAGTTCGGCCGAGCGCGAGGGCGACACCAGCGCCGCGACGCGTCGCTGACTGCTTCAAGTCGAAGAGGCACCCCATCAGCGAACGGCGCCGCAAGACGCGGGGGGGAGAGGACTTCGGCAGAATGTCCCCGCCACGCGCGCGTCGGCCCGACACCTCTGCCTCCGAGTTGGCCGCGGCACGGGGCGAAACAATTCGCCCGGCGCCCAGTTCTGGGTCTGCGCAGCCCATGCCCGACGGGTCGCTGAAAGCGTTCCTGGCGGATGGCGCCGCGCGCTCGGGGGCGGGCGGCGCGCGCGCCCCCGCCGAGAGCTGAGGCGTCGAAGGCGCGGGCCAGCATGCCGCGGTCGCGCTCGCCTTCTTCGCACTGCGCGGCGAAGTCCCAGAGCCGCGGGGGGCTGACGTGCATTCTTTGGGATAATTCATGTCAGACCCCCCCCTCCTCGCCCGCCCACTTGGGCCGCTGCGCCCCCTTCCCCCCCCGTTTCCCCTCCCCGCCCCCCCCCGCCCCCCCCCGCACCCCTAAAGCCGCTGCCCGCCCTCTCCTCTTCTCCCCGCTTCCCCCTCAGTTCCCCCCCCCCCCCCCTTGTCGTTTGCCCCCGCAAGTCGCCCCCCCGCCCTCCCCCCTTCGCCCCCGCCCCCCCGCCCGCCCCGGACACTTGGCCCGAGACGCGCCTAGCGCGAGACATGTAGTCTTCGGCGCGCCCATACATGCATGCACACATGCACACATACACGCATACATGCACACATGCACACATCTGCATACATACATATATATATATACATATACACACATGTGCGAGACTGAACTGGTTCGCGCCATGCGCCTGGGTCCTTGCGCCTGAGCGCGCGCTGGTCATTCGCGCCATCCTTCGTGGCCCTGGAATTTTGACTTCGAGAGCTCGGGCGTAGAAACCCGCGCGCCCCTTGTGGGCCCTTGGGGGGCGCAAGCAAGGTGGCTCGGCGCGTTCGCACTCATGCTGACATGCAACGTCGTCTAGGCGCCGCTTTGCAGCGCAAGTCCACAAATTGCGCGACGTGGTAACGGGTAGTGATACATTTTGCATATAAGATCGCGCGCGGCGTGACACTTGCAACGCTGTTGGGCGCGCGGCGCCCCGCGCGCGCCCGAGCGGGGCGCGCCGCCCCCAGTTTGCGCCCAAACCATGATCGCCGCAACATATGCTAGTAGTTGTCGGCGCTCCTGTGGCGCAACCATGGCGCAGGGGGTCGCATCGGACAGTCTCGTGACCCCGCGGCGCTGGGTATGGGGGCCATGGGGCGATTTCTCAGCAGATGCTACCAGGCTCACGCTGTGGTAATCCAGATGCAACGTTTCACGCTGTGTTGGGCTGTGTTATAGCTGTGCTATATGTTCTGCAATGCCAGCTGGCATGCCATGCAATGCCATGCATGGCCGAGGGGAACGGCGGCGGGCGCGTGCCTGCGCAGAGTGCCAAGCGCGTAGCGCCTTGATTTTCCAGAGCGCCACGCGCGT